GAAGGTTATCTATTCAAAAGATTTTGTTCATAAAAGTAGCTCTGAAATAATTAAAAATAACTATTAAAGCTTCTGTTGTAGCTAATAACTAGTTACGGCGCTGTTTAGATCGAAACAATAATCTACCAAACTCAATAATCAATAAAGAAACGATGCAGCTTTAATTGATATTAGGTAATTTATTTCATGGATCTTTTTTCTATTATTTAACTTTGTTAAAGGTTAAAATGTCAGATGAATATATTTATTATATGTTCATCACGGGATACGTTTTTGAAAAGTTTATAATTAATGTTTTAAATTTCGTAAAATTATAAATTACCAGAATTAGAATGAATTCTTCTTTAAAACAAACAAATATGATTAAAATTTTTAAATGGCGTGAATAAAAACAGCTAAAAGTTTTCAAATAGTAACATTTAAATTATTTTGTCCATATCTGTTCATATGATCAGTTAATTTCGGTCTGAATTATGCGTTTATTATTTCCTTGTTAGTTTTTTCATCGTATTTATCCTAGTAAAGATTCACTGTTATTGATATAAACATATCTGGATTTCGTTCCACTGAAATTGCAATATCAATTGTCATAAAATATAGCCTAACTTATTAATAAATAAATAAATGTTATACAGCTTTTCCAGTCTCGGCATTATGTAATTATTTAAGTTACTTAAAAGTATGTTTTATGATCCTTACTTCAGTCATAATATTTAAAAAATAGCATTAATCGTAAGAAATTCTTTAAAAGCCCCTTTTAATGTGACACGAACGACCAGAAACTGAGAAATAATTCAAATTTTCGCTATTCTTTTTTTATTCTAATTCTTTGAAAACAACAGGGTATCAATGATACCAAAGTCTTCACGAACAAGGTCACTATTTCGAAAGCTTTATGGCTCCGTCTTTCTAAACTCTGCATTTTGCAATCTCAAAACAAGTCATAAATTTTAATTTCTTTATATAGTTACACATATCCTTTCAATTAATATTAATCCTAAAAACAATATTATACAACTTGAATTTTCTGTTTTCTTAAATATTTTGAAATTACAAATTTTATTCCTTTAATAAATTATCAAAATATATTTCGATTATTAAGTTAAAAAAATCTTATTAAATGAAATTTCATTTTAAAACTAGTAATGTCTTTTAGAAACTAACATTAGAAGAGAGAATAATTTAATTTAAATCACATTTTGCTAATTATTTTTTAAATAAATTTCTAAATATTTATTAGTTTCATTAAAAATTAATTAAATGATAATTAATTTCTCTTAATTTTTATATTGTGGAATATAGCTAAACTCATCTCACTATCTAGAAACTAATTAATCTTAATAAATATATTTTAAAGGAATAAATTTCAGTAGCATACATTCGATATTCAAAGTATTATATATCAATAACATATACAATTAATTCTATGTCAATGTTAAATATTCTTATTATAATGCATATGATTTAATACTTAACTTCAACGACTAAATTCGTTAATAATTTTTATCAATGAATCGGAAACTTCGTTTTGAACTGATTCATAGATCTTTTTCATCTATTTTAATTGAATTCTCTCAGTAAAATTCTTATCATTTCAATGATTTTTAATAATTTTAAAGAGTAACTATTATTCTTAATAAAATTATAAGCAAATACTTTATAACACCAATGTCTTCGCTTATAATTTTATAAGTAATACTGTTAATATACAATACGCGCAAATAAATAGTAAGTTATATAGAATTTTACTTTTATTATTTAAAAGTAGAATTCTTTTACATAACTGTAAAATAAAACAATTATAATTGTTTTAAAACACGAAATTGCAGTCGTCGAAAAGCTACAGAAATGTATCATAACATATCGTTACGGAAAAAATTAAATTTTGTCCAGAGACATATAAACTTGATATTATTAAGATAGCTGTCAACACTAGTTTACTAATAATTTTAGACTGCTTTGAGACAGATTTGAGATAACTAATACTGACTGTTTGTGTAGAAGTAATGTCTAACCTACTGTTTTCAGTTATGATATCAAAATTAAAGTAGTAATTAAATCCGTACAAAATGAGATAAATTTTGATAAATTTTATCTTATTAAAATGTTATTTTGTTTCTAAGCTACTATTAGATTTGTAATAACGAAATGTTTAAAACCATTAAATTATTGTAACTTCATTTTTAAAAGCAATATTAACAATATTGTAAAGATTAAGCTAATGAAAATTGTCAACATATAAATATTTTTCAGTTATCTACTGAGACATAGTGATAGTTTCTTGAATAGGAGTTAAATTAATAATACTTTCCAAACTTATTTGTGCCTGTAAAAATGAACATGTACAGTATATTTAAATCTAAATAATAGTATTTCAAAAATTATAAGAAATTGACAGTAAGAATATATGAAATAATAGCAGATCCATAGTAATATCATAGAAATTAAAACATAGAAACTGTAATCGGAGAACTTAATTGTTATTTAATTTCTTACAAAATTTAAATTCAGTTAAGTTATATATTCTTGTAAAATCGAATTCATCAATTTGATAAATTTTCCTACAAGCTATTCACTAAAATCAATAATTTGAACTTGTTAGCATATAAAATTAAAGGGGATATTTAAAGATCAGTTAGTCACGTTGAAGAGTGAGGGACCAATTCGAAATTGCAAAATATGCTATAAAATATGAAACGCACTAATATAAAATAAAGAATGAATTACTATAGGTATTTTGTGTATAGGCCATTCAATTTAATAATCAGGAATTCCGGGTTATAATGGTTCACAATTCGGAAAATGTAAGACAACAAATTGTTCGACAGAATTAATTTCTAATTACTGTATTATATAACTACATAGGCCCAAAAAAGATTCATTATAAGTAATAACTTTGTAATCTTTTTTTTTAAGATTGTGGTTATTGGTTTGAAAACAATATATGTGCGACAATACTTATAAAAAATAAAGACTATATAAGTTGTAAATGAGAAAATACAAATTCATGTTATTACAAGTCATATCTTTCTTTAAATATTATCCTCCATCTAATATACAAATTTAAGAGTAATATTTGTATTGTGTTAGATTGTTTGAATATCTCGAAGACTGAATGTATCGTATAATAAATAATTTTATCATAATCTAATTTCTAAATAATAGCCGAATAATTTATGAAATATAAATGTAATATTTTGTCATAATTCAACATAGGCCTATAGAACAAAATTTATATAAGTTATAATAAAGGTTTTACTCGTTTTTTTAATTTTCTAGAGCATTTTATCGTCGTTTCGTATTCTAAAACAGAAATTTAATTTTAAATAGATGTAAAAATTCTTAAAATTCTGAAAAGAAAACGCTTAAGAAATCAATGCTTCCGAGATTAATTACACATTCGAGTGATAGAGATACGTTTCAATGCACTGAGAATATTTAGTATATCAATAAACCGAGCCTACGTTAAACAAATAATCTTTCCGATGTACCGTAAAATTCAGCATCGCGTTATCATTATTAAATAATGTTAAAAAATTTTTCACATCTTACTCTCGAATAAGAGAGAACACACTTGTCATCTGCAAGGTACTCTTGTTACTAAGCATGCTATGAAGTAAAACGGGGTTAGCTTGCTTGCAACATCTGTTGGCTCCCCGCTGTCTGTGTAGTGCATTATGTGAGAGATGAGGGGAAGATGATCTTTTTCTAAGTCAAGGTGTGCATTAGACAATACCTATACTTATCAATCGGTCCCCGCATCAGTTTTTCGATACAACTGCATTTCTTTTTCATAAATTTATTATTGAATATATTTTCCACAACAATACTAACTTGTAAGACTATGTTAAAGACAAACTGAACGATGCTATTTAAAATTGGTAATATATTAATAGTAAACAAGACATTAATAATTTGTTTAACTTATATAATTGTTAAAAGTTCTTACGCTATTTAAATCTATGCAATATGACTTAACTGCATCTCCAAGTCATTTAAAGTGTAGACAGATTCCACTATAGGCGAAAATGAACATACTAATAGACCTATTGTAATTACAAATAAGGTGTTAAATTTTTTCTGTGATAACCTTGCAAGAATTTTAATTGCAGGAGATTATTCGAAATACTACTAAATTGTAAATTAATATTAAATTTTATTAAAGTCATTACATTTTTTTAAAGATAACAAATTACCTTTTGGTTATTAAAACTCAAATTTTAAGTTTAACAAGGCAGAAAACAAGTTTAACAAATGCAAACGGTAGACCTAATTTAAATGTAACAGACGTTCGGAATTATAATGCTAATTTTAAATTATTCAGATTTTAAAATATCCCGAACTGCTTAATAGAACAATATCTATTTAACATAATATTGGTATATAAATTTACAGTACATTAGAACGTGTAGGCCAAGTTCAATGACTTTTTCCTTATTATGTAAGTTGTCTGTAGAAAAAATTTCTCATTTATCTCGACAAAGCTTTGTTATTATAAAGATATTTACTAAATTAATTAACGAAGAAAATATTTATAAAAACATTATGATTTTTTCTGACATAAAAAGTAAGCGCGTGAACTTTTTATCTGAAATAACCGGAATATCTTTTCCTGTCTAAAGGAGCTAACTTTAAGTATAATCTGTTGGATGAAAAATGTAGCATCTTTTCTTTACATTGTTAATATAAACAATAGCCCTTTTCATAACGAAACAAACGAAAACTGTTATTTTGGAAAGATATCGCACATTTCGAAAAGAATAAGAAAATAACAAATTACGTATTTTAGAATAAACAATTTGTTATAAAGTTTAAAGTCGGACGATTTCGAGAATCGCGTGGTTACACTCGAAGAACAAATATTGACTAAACCAACGGACCGCAGCTTAACACTGCCAATAATCGAGTCAATGCCGGAGGCTGGCGACGTTCACCCAGGCAGTTTACTGCCGAGAGTGCGGCCTCGAAACGGGATAAACAAGAGAGAAAAGTGTACTCACACAACAACCATGAAGGCAAAGGTGGGAGTCCGCCAATTTCCAGCACTTTTACAGATGGCAGTCGCTATACATTGACACGTACGTCCCTCTTGCTGGCGGGCATCGTTTTAGAGACCAGTGCGTCCACGGCTTTGGCACAAGATAGCAACTCTCTCGGTCGGCGCACGGCGAACGTCACACTAGCGAGGCTGGAGAACTCTGGGGTTGGACGATAACAATAACAGCGACGGTCCAATAGCGAGGCCTCTTCTCGCTGTCCGACAAATGGGAGATAAAGATTGCAGTCAGGCTCCCTACTAAAGCGCTTCCGACTTCCACCAATGGTACGAGTTACAAGGATCGTTTCTATTTGAAAGTGCTCTCGTTAATAGCGAAAGTACGACCCGATATCGCGGCAATTACTCCGAGCATGCGCATTTCTGCTTTAACCCGCATTCGAATATTTGGCTTTTTAAAAGTCAAATCTCTCAATTGAATCCATGCTTAAGCAGGGTTTAATGTTAAATAAACTTCCTTTTAATTCTGGAGAAAAGCATAAGCATTCATAGCTTATTCTATGTTTTAACTATAAAGCTTAAAATTTTATACTATTTTCTAGTTGATTTCATTTTTAATTATATATTTATATTAAAATTGGATTCAATTTAATTATTAAACTATTCTTATTATGTTAAATAATACTGTTTTATTTTCTAATGAACATATTTTCAGTTAAATTTTATAGATTATCTTCATTTAAACTGAATAATCAGAACAGCCTAGAAGTATGTACTGTAATATGATATGCCAAATTAAATTTTCCGACATTAGAATAAAATTATTAAAATCTGAAACTATAAAATTTAATGTTAATTATATGCCATTTCGTCATTATTTTATAAAATCGGTTCTATNTTCATTTGTTATTCTCGACGGCGGCGCAGTAAATCTAAGAGTAAAATTTTATCCTTCTCTACGAAGCTAAAAAAGGAAAAAAAAAATAAAAATTAAAAACAAGTTTGTAAGTTTGATGATTGATCGTTTAATTAAATCTATATTAAGGTGAAATGCAGATTTAATTAGCAGCTGTAGACTTTAATTCAGTTTTTATTAATATATTCATAATTTCACTTTTTTGACACGCCAACTCTGATTTCTGGGCAATATTCTAGTGAATTATGACAGCCTAAAGAAAACCAAAAGTCAGAGTAAGCGAGCGAAAGACCTGTGACAAAAACCACCCCCCTAGTTGTTGACCTTGAGCTTCACTTCTCTAGTTCTTCGCATTTAAACATCGAGCGTACCCAATTCAATCACTAAATTTATCGTTAAGCCATCATTCATAAAATATACCTTTCTGTCCATTGTTATTTCCACTACCTCTACCAATTCTACATTACCTAATTAAAATCTTCGGTCCGTACAAATATAGAAAGTGTTGACAAAGAAATTAGTCACCAGTTTGAGTGAACCAAAACAAGCAGTTTCTTTACACACCTTATTTTCAGAGAAATTGTTTTAATATACGTATTTTGAATCATAATAAGTGTAACATTGTTTTAATTTTATTTATCGTTAAGTGCCTGAAAAGTATGCGAAAATCCGGCTATTTTTGAAATATTTCCGAAGTTAAATTACAGTTAGGTAATCATTATTGTGTTTTCCGTGAATCTGCGTGTACCTCTTGAAGACATGACAAGTCATGGGTCTATATTTAGCAACTAGGAGTCTACTTGTTTTCACCCACAGCTGTGGAATCTCATGGCAGTTATTCTGATGGATACACAGAGATGCATGCCTCTTATAAAAACCGATTAGATTTAAAGTGGATAAAAAAAATAACAACTTAAAAAATTTAATCTTTAAAATTTTTCAAAAGAGTCTATAATTAAAATCTTATGTAGGAACCAATTGACTTTTTATACATTAATTTTTATCTTTAGCACATATTTATAAAGATTTTTAACTCGAAAAACTACATTTTTTACTTGGAAAAACTAATCAATTGCATCATCTCAACAATTCACTTAAAATTAATTGAAAATTCGAGTTAAAATAGTGATTAACTTCATTATACGTCTTGACACGGTTTACTAATTTATTAATCAAGTTTTAAAATACTTATTGTAAATTTCACGTTATAAACGAATAGTCTATAATCTTCGACTGAAAATTTTTCATATAGTTTTTAATACGTTTTTGTTTTTGTTTTTTTTTAAATACTAAGATCTGAATACACTCATAAAATTAGATTTATTTGATTCATATAATAGATTTTATATTTAATATAAAAAGCTAATAATTAAATTATTACATTTATTTCTTAGATCACTTAACTTAAGCTTTCTAAATTTTAATTTATAGATAATTTTAAATGAGAGTAATTTAACTGATATATAGAACCTTTGTGTGTATTTACAGAAACATAAACGGTTTTAATAAATTAAATTGATCATAATGTAAAGGAATTGATATGCGCTTATACTTATATTGTTATTCAAAAATCCATTCTGGAAACAAGGCCATTTATTATATAAATTTTAAAGACAAAAGTTTTCATTGTATATTATCAATGCCCAGCAAGAAAGATATAGATCCAATGCATAAACATTTAAATCTTTATATTCTTATTTGATAATATTCTTTTTCAAATACAATAGCACTTATTTTCTGGCGCTATGTTTCTTTGGTATTTGATATCCTTATTACGTAATAGAAGGTTATCTATTCAAAAGATTTTGTTCATAAAAGTAGCTCTGAAATAATTAAAAATAACTATTAAAGCTTCTGTTGTAGCTAATAACTAGTTACGGCGCTGTTTAGATCGAAACAATAATCTACCAAACTCAATAATCAATAAAGAAACGATGCAGCTTTAATTGATATTAGGTAATTTATTTCATGGATCTTTTTTCTATTATTTAACTTTGTTAAAGGTTAAAATGTCAGATGAATATATTTATTATATGTTCATCACGGGATACGTTTTTGAAAAGTTTATAATTAATGTTTTAAATTTCGTAAAATTATAAATTACCAGAATTAGAATGAATTCTTCTTTAAAACAAACAAATATGATTAAAATTTTTAAATGGCGTGAATAAAAACAGCTAAAAGTTTTCAAATAGTAACATTTAAATTATTTTGTCCATATCTGTTCATATGATCAGTTAATTTCGGTCTGAATTATGCGTTTATTATTTCCTTGTTAGTTTTTTCATCGTATTTATCCTAGTAAAGATTCACTGTTATTGATATAAACATATCTGGATTTCGTTCCACTGAAATTGCAATATCAATTGTCATAAAATATAGCCTAACTTATTAATAAATAAATAAATGTTATACAGCTTTTCCAGTCTCGGCATTATGTAATTATTTAAGTTACTTAAAAGTATGTTTTATGATCCTTACTTCAGTCATAATATTTAAAAAATAGCATTAATCGTAAGAAATTCTTTAAAAGCCCCTTTTAATGTGACACGAACGACCAGAAACTGAGAAATAATTCAAATTTTCGCTATTCTTTTTTTATTCTAATTCTTTGAAAACAACAGGGTATCAATGATACCAAAGTCTTCACGAACAAGGTCACTATTTCGAAAGCTTTATGGCTCCGTCTTTCTAAACTCTGCATTTTGCAATCTCAAAACAAGTCATAAATTTTAATTTCTTTATATAGTTACACATATCCTTTCAATTAATATTAATCCTAAAAACAATATTATACAACTTGAATTTTCTGTTTTCTTAAATATTTTGAAATTACAAATTTTATTCCTTTAATAAATTATCAAAATATATTTCGATTATTAAGTTAAAAAAATCTTATTAAATGAAATTTCATTTTAAAACTAGTAATGTCTTTTAGAAACTAACATTAGAAGAGAGAATAATTTAATTTAAATCACATTTTGCTAATTATTTTTTAAATAAATTTCTAAATATTTATTAGTTTCATTAAAAATTAATTAAATGATAATTAATTTCTCTTAATTTTTATATTGTGGAATATAGCTAAACTCATCTCACTATCTAGAAACTAATTAATCTTAATAAATATATTTTAAAGGAATAAATTTCAGTAGCATACATTCGATATTCAAAGTATTATATATCAATAACATATACAATTAATTCTATGTCAATGTTAAATATTCTTATTATAATGCATATGATTTAATACTTAACTTCAACGACTAAATTCGTTAATAATTTTTATCAATGAATCGGAAACTTCGTTTTGAACTGATTCATAGATCTTTTTCATCTATTTTAATTGAATTCTCTCAGTAAAATTCTTATCATTTCAATGATTTTTAATAATTTTAAAGAGTAACTATTATTCTTAATAAAATTATAAGCAAATACTTTATAACACCAATGTCTTCGCTTATAATTTTATAAGTAATACTGTTAATATACAATACGCGCAAATAAATAGTAAGTTATATAGAATTTTACTTTTATTATTTAAAAGTAGAATTCTTTTACATAACTGTAAAATAAAACAATTATAATTGTTTTAAAACACGAAATTGCAGTCGTCGAAAAGCTACAGAAATGTATCATAACATATCGTTACGGAAAAAATTAAATTTTGTCCAGAGACATATAAACTTGATATTATTAAGATAGCTGTCAACACTAGTTTACTAATAATTTTAGACTGCTTTGAGACAGATTTGAGATAACTAATACTGACTGTTTGTGTAGAAGTAATGTCTAACCTACTGTTTTCAGTTATGATATCAAAATTAAAGTAGTAATTAAATCCGTACAAAATGAGATAAATTTTGATAAATTTTATCTTATTAAAATGTTATTTTGTTTCTAAGCTACTATTAGATTTGTAATAACGAAATGTTTAAAACCATTAAATTATTGTAACTTCATTTTTAAAAGCAATATTAACAATATTGTAAAGATTAAGCTAATGAAAATTGTCAACATATAAATATTTTTCAGTTATCTACTGAGACATAGTGATAGTTTCTTGAATAGGAGTTAAATTAATAATACTTTCCAAACTTATTTGTGCCTGTAAAAATGAACATGTACAGTATATTTAAATCTAAATAATAGTATTTCAAAAATTATAAGAAATTGACAGTAAGAATATATGAAATAATAGCAGATCCATAGTAATATCATAGAAATTAAAACATAGAAACTGTAATCGGAGAACTTAATTGTTATTTAATTTCTTACAAAATTTAAATTCAGTTAAGTTATATATTCTTGTAAAATCGAATTCATCAATTTGATAAATTTTCCTACAAGCTATTCACTAAAATCAATAATTTGAACTTGTTAGCATATAAAATTAAAGGGGATATTTAAAGATTAGTTAGTCACGTTGAAGAGTGAGGGACCAATTCGAAATTGCAAAATATGCTATAAAATATGAAACGCACTAATATAAAATAAAGAATGAATTACTATAGGTATTTTGTGTATAGGCCATTCAATTTAATAATC